AAATCCATTGTAGAAGGCTGCATTTGAAGGATCTTTTAAAAAATCATATTTAGATCAGTTGGATGGTTCTGTGGTTTACAAACCGGGATTAGCAAGTTGGCTGTGGGTGTACGGTTGACCCTTGTGGCCTTTCTGAGGCAGAGAAGTCTGAGGGGCAGAGTTCAGACACAACCACCACTGCCATTTTGAAGAATTGACGTTCTTAATCTGGAAGCATAAAGTACCTTTTGAAGATGATGTGGAACATTAATTGATTGGTAAGACCAACCAGAATTCCAATGGCTCTGTGGAGTGTAGCATGTAATTAATATATGGTACAAAATGTGAGGGTTGGTGTATGTGTGAGTGTGGTCTCATTTTCTACGAATTACTCAGTTACGCTTTTCCATTTTCTTTGAATTCATACTACCTGTATATTGAAATATTGAGAACTTTATGCAATAGATTCAGATTTTCTTTATGCTTTCTCTTTGATAGATGGTATAGCCTCATCTCAAAACCAAATAAGGCAGTGAAGAACAGAGGCCAGTTGCAACTCACATTCCAATTTCTGCGGGACAACATGACTGCTAGCTCCTACGAGCTCTCAAAGGCAGGACCTCAGTCTGTGTTCAATAAGTTCAAGGAAAAGGTAGCATCTATCAAGTATGGGGTGAATCATGACTTGATACCATCAGTCAGACCTGCCATTGTGAGTTCATTGATTTTAATGATGAGAATCTGGTTGCATTTCTCCCTCCTTCCACACAAGTACACATTACACTCAGTGACTAGGTAGATCTTCCTTGTAGCTGCACTCTTAGCTCTTAGCAAATTAGCAAGTTGGAAGCTCAAAAGGTGCTAGAACTTCAGGGATGGTCTCTTACTTTTTACCCAGTTGTGTGCTTTGAGATGTACTTGCTACGTTCCAGTTGTTATAGCAATGTGATGTCTGCAATTTCTTTGAAAATCTTCCATAACCAATAGGCTCTGTATTAACACCTCGATCACCATCATCAGTTTGCCAAAGTTTTGTGAACGTGGTAAAGTTCACCATTTAGCTTTTTGAGAAGTGTTTGATACTGTGTATTGGTTTAGACCACCATGGCCCGGCCTTTATACGACCTGAGACAAACATTCCAACATTGAGACTTCCGCTCCCTCCCTCCCTGGTGAACGTCCTCCCAGGGCAGCGACAGGAGCCGGCATTTTTGCGGAGACATAGAACGGAAAGTGGAAATAATACAGTCCATTACTGTCAGGAAGGTAAGTGAGTCTCTTACCAACCACGTCGTTTGCAACCGCCGGCTCCTACCACTGCAGTAAGTAATTGCCACATATCCTTGTTGGGAGGGAGGGATTGAGATGAATGGGGGAGAGAGTGTGTGAGAGAGTGCATGTCTCAATCACTCCCTCGACCCCCGCTGCCCCGCCCGGCCCCCTCGGCTGCCCCGCCCGGCCCCCTCGGCTGCCCCGCCCGGCCCCTCGGCTGCCCGGCGCCCCCTGGCGGCTGCCCCGCCGCGCCCTCGGCTGCCCGCCCGGCCCTCGGCTGCCCCCCGCTGCCCGCCGGCTCGGCGCCCGCCCGGCCCTCGGCTGCCCGCCGGCCCCGGCTGCCCGCCCGGCCCCTCGGCTGCCCGCGCCCGGTGCCCCGGCCTCGGCTGCCCCGCCCGCCCTCGGCTGCCCCGCCGGCCCCTCGCTGCCCCGCCCGGCCCCCTCGGCTGCCCCGCCCGGCCCCCTCGGCTGCCCCGCCCGGCCCCCTCGGCTGCCCCGCCCGGCCCCCTCGGCTGCCCCGCCCGGCCCCCTCGGCTGCCCGCCCGGCCCCTCGGCTGCCCGCCGCGGCCCCCTCGGCTGCCCGCCCGGCCTCGCTGCCCCGCCCGGCCCCCTCGGCTCGTTTCGCTTTGGCTCCCCCCCCCCCCGTTTCGCTCTGGCTCCCCCCCCCCCCCGTTTCGCTCTGGCTCCCCCCCCCCCCGTTTCGCTCTGGCTCCCCCCCCTCCCCCGTTTCGCTCTGGCTCCTCCCCTCCCCCCGTTTCGCTCTGGCTCCTCTCCCTCCCCCCGTTTCGCTCTGGCTCCTCCCCTCCCTCTCGCCCGCCACCCCCTCCCTCCCTCTCGCCCGCCATCCCCTCCCTCCCTCTCGCCCGCCTCCCCCTCCCTCTCTCTCGCGGGACCCTCTCTTCTCTCTCGCGCGTGCACGACCCCCTCCCTCTCTCGCGTGCGTCCTCCTCTCTCTCGCGCGTGCGACCCCCTCCCTCCTCTCTCTCTCTCTCGCGCGCGCCCCCCTTCCTCCTCTCTCTTGTGAACCCCTCACTCCTCTCTCTCTCGCGCGACCCACTCCCCCCTCTCTCTCTCTCTCTCGCACGCGCACGACCCTCTCCCTCCTGTTTCTCTCTCTCGCGCACGCGACCTCTCTCTCTCTCACGCGCGCACGACCCCCTCCCTCTCTCTCTCGCACGACCCCCTCCCTCCTCTCTCTCACGCGCAACCCCCTCCCTTCTCTCTCTCTTGCGCACGACCCCCTCCCTCCTCTCTCTCTCTCTCGCAACCTCCTCTCTCTCTTGCGCACCCCTCTCCCTCCTCTTTCTCGTGCATGCAACAGCCCCCCCCCCTCTCGTTTGCCTTCCTGACAGTAACAGCCAGTATTATTTTCACTCCACACTGCATGCCCCCAACCGCCATCTTCTGTCACTGCAATGGGAGGACGTTCACCAGGGAGGGAGGGAGTAAAAGTTGGTAATGGTCTTACTAAATAAAATTACCTGCTGTGCCGGAAGAAGCCCGAGGGCCAGTTGGACCACATGGCTTATGCTGCCTGTGGACCTTTCCCAAATAGGGAATCTGGCCCACGGTAGCCAAGAGTTTGTACCCCCCCCTCCCCACCACCGGTTTAGACCATGTCTCATTTCCTGTTATTTGTGTTGCTCGCCCGTTTAGGAAGATACTGATGTGATAAAAAGAGAATTACAGCGTAACTGTTATACCAGTAGTGTTTAGTTCCCAGCATGATAGCAGCTTGAAGATGTGAATCTAGGCTGTTATTTAATGCATGTAGTTTGGGGTTTGTAAGAAACATTTAATCAATCTAGATGTGCTAATCAGGGAATTTGTGAGTGAAAAGAAGCAGGCATAGACATGTGGCTGAACAAGGCAGGAAAGATAACAGGTAAGGACCAGAGGAAGCACCAGAATGTATGGGCATGTTCACACTGAAGAGAAAGTTGAGGGGCGATATGATTACAGTCTTTAAGATTCTGAAGGGAATAATGTAGACCATGATAAGCTGTTTTATCTTGTACTGAACAGTAGAACCAGAGGAAATGGCCTGCGATTGAAGGGGGGTAAATTCAGAACCAGTCTGCAGAAACACTGCTTCAGTGAGCAAGTAGTAAATTTATGGTACAGGCTCCCCAGGGAGACAATGGAAGGAGAAAATGTTGTTTCAAGAACAAATTAGATAGATTTCTGCTAGAAAATAATATTTCAGGATACAATATATAGTTTGGGACACAATATGTCAAGCGACTGCCAGGATGGACCTTGGTCTTCTTTCGCCTAGCAAATTCTTATGTTCTTGGGTTTGGCATGTAGTCACAGAAAAGTTCTGTGAGAGTTGTCATTTCAATGGTAACTAACATTCGCCTTTCTTCATGGAATTTTTTTTATTGTGATGGTAAAAGGAACAAACTTTTGTTTCTTCCTCCACCTCACCTCTTTTAAGGCTTTTGTCTCTTTTAAGGCCCGTCTCAAGACCTTCCTCTTCAACAGTGCCTTCCCATCCCCAACCCCCTTGACTTCCACCTCTCGATTCCAACCCCCACTTTGAGTGCAAATCTTTCACTGTCCAGAAATTTGACATGTCCTCCCAACGTGAAAGGCACTATAAAAATGCGATTTGTTGTTCTTTGAATTATGATTGAGTTTTAATTTGCACTAAAACACATTGTGCAGATTGAAGCTCTTGTAACTACTACTACTAATAATAATCCTTGTATTTGATATAGCGCTTTTCACGTCGGGAGGACGTCTCAAAATGCTTCACAGAACACACTGTAAAGTGAATTGACTGTATATTTGTGGGCGAAGGCGGCAGCCAATTGCGCACAGCAATGTCCCACAAACAGTCGTAGATTGAAAATGACCAATTTATTATTGTTTTTGGTTTTGGAGGGATTATTATTAGGCTCTGTGTGGAGTAAGGAAACTTGCCCAAGGTTTCGCCCTCTGCCTGGAATTGAACTCAGGTCTCTCGCTTGCAAAGCGAGTGCTCTAACCACTGAGCTACAGGACTACACTAGAGTTTTGTTTTTATTTATTTAAACATCCTTGATTGTGTCAAATAATCTGTATAGTGTGATGAATGTGGCAATGTTACTTGATCATGAACAGGTTAAAATGCGGGTATGTTCTTTCCCCCCCTCTCACACACATATGTGCATGTCACATATTGCCTACCTGATTGTTTTTGCACTTTAACTGCTTGTTCATGTCTCAGGTGGCTTATCTTCAAATTTAACTGAAGGGAGAAGGAGACCTTAAAAGGAACCCCGATGACACAAAGAGCAGTTGAAAAATAGAGCGCGTTTTTCAGTTAATCCAATATCCCAGTTGGGATGGATAAATCATGTCTGTAATGAATCAGTGCTCTGTTCTCCAGTTAATAAGTGTGGCAGGTAATTTGCACAATCAGGCTTGAATCTGTGTTCCTGTGTTCCGTCTGCTTTTGGATAGACCTGACTATTGCTAAGGATCAGATAAGGAGTGAGTGGCTTTTCAAGTGAAGTTTTTAATCTAGCAAACCAGTTCTAGATAATACGATCATAGTGAATTATCCATTATGAAACTGCCACCAAAGCAGTGAGATATGCTATTGAATGTGAATCAGTGCTTGAGGCCATGTTTCACAACATTACTTTCTTTGTTCTTGTCATTAAACAGTCAGTTGCCCTATTTCAGCATCCCAATTAAAACCAACGCCAGCAAATCTGGCAGCAACTTAGCTCCGTATTGCTGCCACCTTTAGTCACTTTAATTCCCACTGCTTAACAAACTGTCCTCACCTTTAAGGCCATCCATGGCCTTGCCCCCTCCTACCTCTCTGACCTGCTGACTCCCTACCAACCTGCCTACTCCCTCCGCTCATCAGGCTCCGGCCTGCTCCATGTCTCCCACCTGACCTGCCTTACCATCGGTGGCCGGGCTTTCAGCCTCTCTGCCCCCACACTCTGGAACTCCATCCCATGGTCCCTTGGCCTCGCTTCCTCCCTCGCCTCCTTCAAGGCCGGTCTCAAGACCCTTCTCTTCGACCGGGCCTTTGGTTTCCCTCCCACCTCTCTGCCTTCCTTCACCCCTACACCCACCCCTCCCCCATGCTCGGGCCCCGACATCTGACTGTTCGGCCCTTTGGGACGTCCTCCTGACGTGAAAGGCGCTCTATAAATGTAATTTTGTTGTTGTTGTAGATATGTGTAGCGAATAAAGAAAATGATAACGTAGTTATTCTGATTTTTTTTGCTTCAGCAAAATAACATTTCCTTATTCCCATCATCTAGGAGTCTCGAAAATCAAACCTGTTTTTGGGTTGAGCTGTTTTGTGACATGGGAATGTAATTTTGCCAGTAACCTGTTATTGTCTTTAGTTTTTATATAATCTCTTTTCTGCCCAATTTTTCCCCTTTGTCCTCTCTTAAAGATGATTCACTTTTTTTTCTTTTACGGGGTTCAATTTGTACCAGTTACTCTTGCTCAAGGAGCCGTTTTTCATTGGTAAGCTCAATCCTTGAATTTTGGCAAACTATTGAATATCAAATACAGGAAATGAGGCTCTGGTCACCTATAAGTCACTATGTAGAATCGCACAACCACACCTTTTGGGAAAGTAATGCTGAACTGT